GCTCAAGCCGGACAAGGCGGCGGCGGGCGATGGGGCCAACGCGGAGATCCTGCTGCCCCGGCGCGGGGTGAGTGCGGGCGGCCCCGACCCGGCCCCCAGAGGCTGGGGGGGGCCCTCTCTAGGACGCGACCCCCGGGCAGTGCCCCGGGCCCCTGGCGCTCCCCAGCCGAGCCGCCTCTTTGTGATGTCACTACAGCCCAGTGTGAGGTCAGCGCTCCCCTGACAGCAGCTTGTGATGCCATAGGCGGGGGGAGGGCTGGAGGGAAGCGGGAGCCTTTCCACGTGCTCAGAGGCATCTCAGGGCAGCTTTTAAAATGAGTGGGATCTCGACCCCCCCGAGCTAGACCCGACCCGAGTCCAGGGGCTGCGGTCTTGTGCCGGGCGTGACCTGAGCCCCAAACCTGCGGGTGCTGGTTTCTGCCCCGGTGTGGGCTGCACCTTCTGTTGCTTGACCCTGCCTGGCTTGGGCAACCGCAACAGGAGATGAGACCAGTCCGTGTGGATGCTGTCTGGTATTGTGTCTTGGCAGGCGCCTGGGTGGGATGACAAGGGGTTGGATGTTCCTGGGTGATGTTGATCAAAGTTAAAATGTCCCTAGAGAGAGGTTCCTCCTGGGCGAGGGAGGGAGAAATGCAAAACCAGCAAAGCAGGAGTCTCCCTGAGTTGAGAGAAAAGGCAGAAGAAGTGGTGGTGAAGTGTAAGGAGGAGCAGGGAACAGTTCTGGCCAGATAGGAACTAGCAGTCTGAACTTGGATTTACTTTGCTGGCTTTGACTTGCATTAGGTGATGGATGAGCGAGAAGGGAATGGCAGGCCAGGCATGTGGTGGTTGGGATCCTGCCAGGTAAAGAGGTGAACAAAGGCATTGTTTCCTGTGCTGGATGTGAGATCCTGGAGGGGAGTTGCAGTGCGTGCTATGTCCTAACTGAGGAAGGCTGGAGTAGTGGGGACTGGGACTGACGGTGCCTATTTGCATGCACGCTGATGGCCGTTCTCTTACCTCTTTGCTGCACTGAAGAATTATTCCCAGAGGACAAGGCCAGCAATGTCACATATGGTCAGGAATCATCAGGTGTGCCTCAAATCACGTAAACTAGTAAGGCCTCAGCCTCAAAGTTGTTTTCTGTTGGTGAACAAGGAAGCATTGGGGGAAGGCACTGTCTCCAAACAAAACAACCTGCTAGTTTGGTGGTTCTCAACCTTTTTAAACGTAAGACCATAGGTGCTGACTCTGTGGGTGCTCTGGGGCTCAAGCATCCACCAAAAAAAATTAGCAGGTGCTCGGCACCCATGGAGCCACTTGAAGATGGAATCCCCCCCAAGCACACTTTACCCTAAGCAGCACCACGTGACTTCAAACTGGCTCTGCAGCATCTGTAAAGATCTGGCGCTTCAACGGGCCTTTTTGGCACTTTTTGTTAAAGCTGAGTCAGTCAGCTATTAGATAAAAGTGCCAGAAAAGCCCCCCTAGAACGCCTGATCTTTACCGATTCTGCAGGGCCAGGTAGAAGTAATGTGCCGCCTCTTCTGGGCAGTTGTGGGGCTTGCGCGAAGTCAAGAATAAAGTGCCAGGGTTTTTCTTGTTTGTTTTTTTTGTGTTTTTTTTAAACACCTGCAAGCACCCACCGGCAAAAAAAAGTCTATGCCTATGCCTATGCCTAAAAAACCATTCAGATCATGCCAGCTCTTAGCTTTTACTCATTTCTTGACTACAGAAAAGTGATAGACCGATTCTTCTGTTGTAAAGAACTTGGAAAAACCACAACAGGTCAAAATGGTTTTGATACTATGGATTTCTAGTTGAAATCCCTGGGTTTATTGTGTGAAGCACGTGCAGGTGTTTACACACCTACTATCGCACACCTACAGTACTGGCCACCCTTTGAGAATCACTGATGTAGTTAAAAGGCATCCAAACAGATGGTGGGTTTTAAACAGCATTTCACATTTCTTCTTCCTTCCCTGAAAGCATATGCAAATAAAATAAATTAATTATTATAGCCTAGCACCCTGCTGGGGTGAGGGAAACCATTTTGTATCAATGATCTCACTACGGGGACTATATTCCAGCAGTGCTGAAACGCATTCCCTCTGGGAAGTACCTGTCAGAAAGAGAGTCTGGAATTCTCCGTTCATTGGTCACATTTTATAGGAGCTTCCATTCAGGGACACAGGACTGGAAGGGATCTCTAAGGTTGCTGAGTTCAGCCTGCAACTTTTGAAGCAACTACATTATATAAAGGGCTAATAAATGATAGCTATTTCAATAGATCATTGCTCCATTTTTATAGTCCAACAGATCAATAGGTTTCTTACACATAATTATCCATAACAGCACTTCCTTATGTGCTTATAATTATCTATAAAACATATTACTAGTACATGAAACATACTTATGACATCTATTAATCAGCCCTTTATAATCTATTTATAAATGGAACCTTAATATAAAGCAAGGCCAGCTATGGGGTCTCTGTGATTTCTAGATCCTACCTTCTCAGTTTAGAAATAGGAGTGGATTATTTCCCCTCTTAATTTCCAACCCTGAAAACTCAATTTGGAATCTGAAAACTGACTTGGGCCTTTCTGGCTCATATATAAGAAATAAGGATTTTTGCATAGTTAATTTTAGTGACAACAGCAATGGTGGTACATGAGCCAAAATTGGACAATTTCCTTCCTTGCTAGTCAGGGATAATAGGAGCTAAAAAGTAATCCAAGCTCATTTTGGTTAGTAGTGCTGACAGTCCCAAGTATGACTCAGGCTCCCCAAGACATGCAAGGTTATGCTAAATATCATGAGATTTTAAGTAATAATAAAAGTTGTTTCTTTTCCTTTATTTTCTGGTCCCTGAGCACTTGAATCATATTTTCAAGGTTACTTTT